GTGGATACACAGAAACCATATCATAAAATAGCCACACCAGTCATCCCATTCAATCAATTACTGGAAACTTTCTAGCCATTTAAATTTTCCAAGGAAAAGGTACAATTGGGACAGAAGGGGCTGGGAATACAGGTCAAGAGAAGAAGATAAAAAATAAAAATCTGAAAGATGAGGAACCCTGAGTAGAAGGGACCCACAGACCAAGAATGCCGTCCACGTTTGTGGTCATCAGAACCAGGGAACTGGCGAGTGGGCCGTAGAGAGTTCTCGGCGGTGGGCTCGGGTGTACACGATTTTTTGTAGAAGTACACTTTGTGGGAGGAAGGAAGAAGAAATTTCTTTCCCATACTGGGGCCCTCTACCATTAAGCTACATCCCTGGCCCTTTTTATTTTTTGAGACAGGATCTTGTTGTCACTAAGCCTCTAAGTTGTCCAGGCTGGCCTCAAACTTGCAGATCTCCTGCCTCCACTTTCCAGAGTACTGGGATTACAGGCATGTGCCAGGGTGCCTGACTAAAAGGAACTTTTATAGTGCGATAAGTGGTTATAAAGAAGGCCCTAATCTTAACACCTCCTTTAAATCCACTCATTCTACCAATGGTCTAGGAGACTTGAGTATGTGTGAGACACTTTGTCAGGGGCCAGGCTACTCGATATAACATTCTCAGTTCTTACCCTTGTGAAGGGTCCCGTCTAATAAACACTGACTTTAAAATTATACACATTGATATATTTTAAAAATTACAATTCCATTGCAATGGAGTACAGAAAAATGGATAAATTACTGTCCAAGATGGCAGGAGGGAAAGAAGATCCCAGATAGCACTTGTAAAGGACTAAAGCTAGAAGTAAGCTGGCATGTGCCAGGCAATGAGGCAGTAGCAAGTTTAGGGTTGAAAAAGTGGCATCGGAAGTAGAGGGGCGCACGGAGATCAGATCTCACAAAGCCTTAAAGGCTGCATGCAGGACCCGGCCCCCACCCCGGGAGCACCCGTAGACTGCTGGCAGGTTTTCAGTGGACACGCGTCTGCTTGACGTGGCACCGACCTGAGAACAGATTTAGGTTGTGTCCTGTTGGATTTAAACACTAAAGAAACGTATCCCTGTGTTCCTGAGATCTGGTCCTGTCTGCTCAGGAGTGCAATGCAGGACTTCCAGAGTGGTCAATGTGTTCCAGTGTGGATCGAAAATGTCCCCCGCAGTCTGATGTGTTTGGAAGGTGACCGGATCACGGGGACGCGATGCGCATCGGTGCACTTGCTCCCTGAAGACTGAGGTCAGCAGCGGAATGGGCTGCTAGGAGGGAGCCTGGCTGGAGGTGCTCACTGGGCGCGTGGCGGGTGAATCCTTTTCCCTGGCTCCCTCTTGCTCTGCTTCCTGCCTGCTATGGGTGGAGCACCCTTTCCTCTGCCATCCTGTTTCTGTCTCGGAGCCAACCACAGACTGAACGTGTGAGCCAAAAGCAAACCTCTTTTCCTTTAAACTGCAGATGTTGGGCTTTTTGTCCCAGCAACAGGAAATGACGTCATGACCTACCTGTGGGTCACAGTGGTGAGCAGTCCCCAAGGTCTGATCACCCTTACAGATCCTGGCCTTGCACAGGGCTGCTGCGGTGGGACTGTGCTAGATGCTGGTGTCCTCATTCCAGACCCTCCTGAGCCCACTCCTGCTAAGCAAGTGGCCAGGACCCAGTTCAGAAGGGACAGGGCTTTTGGACTTTGTCCTGATGTCAACAGGGTTGAGTTTAACCACTTCCATATACTCTGTTCTTTTACACTCAGCAAGAGATTTGTCTTGCTATTCCCCAACAACCCTGGGAGGTGAAGAATGCAGATAAATGATGAGTCCTTTTTTTTCAAATGACAAAGCTGGAATTTGTGTCCTGGTGGGCACCGTGGTTATGAGGTGGGCTTCGAGGGCACAGCCCAGCTCAGGACCAGGGGCACCCAATTCTCAGCCAGGTGACCCGAAGCATGCTCACCTCCCCTCCCGATCTCCTGGTTTCTAAGGGGACTAATATGCCCTGACATGCCATGTGAATTTCTTTTGCATACCCTTCACCTTTGGGGTCGTTCACCTTTTTCTGAGTCACTTGTGCCTATACCTGTTTCAGATGGGGAAGCTAACGTTACTTCCTCATTCACCTTCAGACTATGACTTTTTTGTTTGTTTGTTTTCTGGTACCAGGAACCGAACTCACAACCTTGCACTTGCCAGGCAGGCGCTGTGCCACTGAGCTAAATCCCCAGCCCCTTCAGACTATGACTTTCCAATGGACTTCATGATTAGCAAAATCATCTCAGAAAACCCACTTAGAGAGAAAACAGTGAATGACTTTAAATGTATGTAAATATCAAGTTGTCAAAATGCATTAAGCTTGACAAGACTGGGAAGGATACGGAGAAGCAGGTACTTTCGCATTCCACTGACGAATAGTCACTGTTATCTTTTTGGAGGGCAGTCTGCTGGTATCAGAACTGAACATGTGTGTGCTCTTTGATGTAATTATTTTAATACTAGGAATCTTGCCTACAAAATTACTTGCAACAGCACTTTACACATACAGGAAAACTGTTTGCTGAAGCACTGATTGTAATAGTAAATAACCCGAAATAATCTACATATCACTGTAGAGAACTAGGATGTGCTCTCTACCAACTGTATTATGGGACTTCTATAAAATGAGTATTTGTTCAAAAATGATGTGAATTATAGGACTTAACTCAAGATATATTACATGAACTGTATTAGTTTGGAAACAAGAAAGCACAGAGCTGGATATAGTTGTGCACACCAGTGTAACAGCATTCTAGGAGGCTGAGCAGAAGGATTCCAAGTTTGAGTCCAGCCTTGATGACTTAGTAATTTACCAAGACTCTCTCAAAATATAAAAAGGTGCACCATGAGATTGTTTATTTGTGCTCATTCTGTTTTCCTGACGTGGGAATTTACCGCTATAAATTTTCCTCTGAGGACTGCTTTCATTGCATCCCAAGGAATGGTTAGTGTCTAATTTTCTTTTTGACCAATTTCGCATGCTTATATCCGGTAATCTGAACAACTAATGTGAAGACAACAATATGCAATATAACCATCATTGGTGAATTCCTACCATCTTGTCTAGTGAAATTCTGTATCGTTTCTAATTTTTTTATTCTCTTTAATGGTTTGATCAATCTTGCATTCTTATATCCGATAATCTGAGCAACTTCACTGAAGATAACAATATGTAATATAAACAACAGTTAATTCCTATCATTTTGTTCTGAAACCCTGTATTATTTTTGTTTCTGCATTGTTTTGTATTTGTCTATGTTGTTGGTATTTTGCTATTGTTATTATTTTCTTTAAAACAAAAAATAAAAAAATTTATATATATATAAGGCTGGAGATGTGGCTCAGGATGAAAGCTCTGGATTCAACCTCTATTACAGAAAAGAAAAAGCGTGCAACATATACCAATGTATACACTAAGACGTTTTTCCAGAATATGCAGATATGTGTGTGTACCTGTATTTTGTTCTGGAAGAAAACTCAAGAAACCAGTAACTGCTGTTTAGGAGAAACTGCAGGGAAGGTTATTTCCCTTCCTTCTCCCACTCCTTTCCTCCCGCTAGGAATACACCCAGGGCCTCTGCTGTGAACCCGCGTGGCTCTTGATGTTCCCAGGGAAAAATGGCGAGAAGATGAAGAAACAGATGAGAACTGAGCTAGGCGGCCCCTCTCCCCAGATGGGAGGAAAGGAACTGCCAGAGCATTTATTTAAACTCAGGAGACTGACATCAATTTCAATCTCTCTGCCTGGCAACCTGTTTATAAGCTGAACAGCTTGTTTACATGGCTGGAGGAGCTGTGTTCTCAGGGCGGCTTTGTATTCACCCCACAAGTGTGACTGATTTCCAGCTTCAGCCGCTCCCTATAGGCCTCAAACACGTAAAGCACGTACACGTACTCTACCACTGAGCTCACCCTGGCCCAATACTGTTTCTTCTAGAACTAGGAACAGAACCCAGGGCCCCATACACGCTAGATGAGTGCTCTACCGCTGAGCTACATCTCCAGCTCCTTTTATTTTGGGAGTCTCCTTAAACTGTCCAGGCTAGCATTCACCTTGGGATTCTCCTCAAGTAGCTGGGATTACAGGCATGTGCCACTGTATTCAACTCTAAGGTCAATGGAACAGTTATTTGTTTTCTCTGTAACTTTTATTTTATAAACTCTTATTTAAAAATAAATTTTAAAATACTAAAGTTTAAAAAATGTTTCCGTTTACCTTACCTTCCCCCCGAGATTATATTAGGTAACATTTCCAGCAGTTTTTTGAAGAAAGCACTGCGCAGCCAGGCGCAGTGACACACACGTGTAATTCCAACTACACAGGAAGCTGAGGCCGTGAGTGAGGTTAAGCCCAGCCTGGGCAATTCAATGACTTCACAAAATCTTGCCTCAAAATAAAAAATAAAAAAGGGCCAGGAATGTGGCTCAGTGCAAAAACTCTAGATTCAATCCCCGGTAATGCAAGAAAAAATGAAAAGGACAAAACAAAACCAGAACATGAGCGACATAGGTGATTTCTAAGGCCCAGTTACAGAGTCTGCACAACTACCCCCAGGGGGAGAGTTGTCAATCAGCTTTGAAACATCCTTCTCAGCAGGGCTGAGACTCAGTGGGACAGCGCCTATCTAGCACGCACAAGGCCCTGGGTTCCATCCCCAGCAATGCAGAAAAAATAAAACTTTCTTAGGCCAAAAGGATCTTGTACAAAGCAAAGGATCTTTCTGAGCCAAAAAATGCTGCCCAAGGTCTTGTAAGAGTTCCTAAGAACTGCCCACCTGAAGGGGCTGCTAGCACCTGCGAAGCTGTTCTAGAGAGAGGAGCCTGTGGAGCAGACCCCAGCCTCCCCTTCTCAGGGAAAAGGCCACTCACGCTCCTAGGTCGTCTTCCGACTTCCCCCTTTTATGAAACCCATGCTCAATTAAGCAAAATACGTGGAGGTCAAGACTGTCCAGTGTTTTCACTTTTATTCAACAAGAAGCAAACACCAGAATTAACACAACAGTAAGCAACTCTAGATCAGCTTTTCTTAGACCAATGACAAGTGATCAACTTAGCAGACACTTAATTTAAGGATCCTGACAACCTGTCACCCCAACCCACTGTTAATCTAGATGGCCAGGCCTCGGCAAGAGCAAGCCGTCCCCTCAGCACTGCTCCCAGCTGGTCCTTTAAAGGACTCAGGGCAGGACTGTGACAGCTTCTAAGTCACTGGGGACGTAACATCCTGTCCTGGTTTACCCAAGATGGGAGCCTCCTGCTGTCCGGCACCGTGTACAGCGCTGGACTCAGGTCTCCTGAAGGCTGTGAGAACCAATCCTTTTCTTTCTTCTCCAGCCCCCCTTACAGACCCTTGATGACCTGCTCTCTTCTTGTACACCTGGTCTCTCTGCCTTTTTTTTTTCTTCCTTAAATCTTGGGTTGCTATACTTTAATTAACAATATGATGATCCCATCATAGTACCAAAATATCCCCCAAAACGGAGCTCAAATGTGACCCAAACATAAACTGGGGTGTGTGACTATCCAGCATCCAGAAGGACAGGCGGCAGGAAAGTCACCCTACACCACTATGGGACAGCGCAGGTCTCAAGCCAAAGGGAGTGGGACGAAGGAGAAATCTACATGCATCACTGAACGGAACTCGATCGAGAACACTGCTTGGGGTGTCCAGGACGACAGGGCCTTGCGGAGTTTGCCCTACTTCCCGGACAGCTGCTCGTACAGCTTGGGCACGTAGTCGTCCCACTCTGCCTGGTAACATGTGCCGGCCACCGGGGCCCCGAGATGGTACTTCTTACGGAAGGACGCCACCTTGAACTTGCCGCGGTGGTCTCCAGATCGGTTGCTCAGGATGGGCTCATCGCACTTCAGCTGTCTGTCCTGCTCGTAGACCAGCCACACGTAGCGGTGGAGGCCTGAGGGGAGAGGCAGAAGGGAAGATGCACACACAGGAGCACCAGAGAGAGCGCCACTACCCGTTCTCATCAACCGCTCCAACTCAGACTCAAGCAAGATGCACTGGGTCCCTCAGCCACTGAACATCACCAGTGCAAGGCCGCTGCCATGGCACCCGGCTCAAACCCATCATCCCAGCCGCTGAGGACCTGCAGGCCCTGGCCTCTGCCCACCCCACACCTCACCTGCAACCCGCTCCCTGCTCCTCACTCAGTCCATCCCACACTTCTGGCCCTTATCCCACACTCCAACCATTCCCACCACCCCCATCACAATGCCTATCTTCCCTCCATCTCAGTAACATCAGCAGCCAAAGATCTAACTCTGTAGTTTGATCTTCCTGCTAGAAGTAAAACCTCCATAAAGCTACACTATTCGTCCTGTCAAGTCCTATCACTCTAAAATGCCCAGACATGAGAAGTAGTAAATAATATACGAGAAATAGAAAATGTCAAATCTCATACCACTGTCAAGCCAAGGCAGGCCAATGGAGAGTGTTACCTTTCTATCTTTTCAACTTATTTTCTTGGAAGACTACAGACTTGTTTTGAAATGACCTAAACTCCCCTTAATCACAGCAAAGAATTTTTTTTTTTTTTTGGAGACAGGGTTTTGCTATGTAGTCCAGGCTGGCCTTGAGCTCACTATGCAGCCCATAATGGCCCTGAACTCTCAACGATCCTCCTGCCTCAGGCTCCCCACGTGCTGGGATTACAGGTGTGCACAACCAAGCCCAGCAGCAAAGAGTACTTTAGAAGCAAACAGCAACCACCCTATTAATCTAATTGTGCACCTAGCTTTATATTTTTTCTTTTCTGTCTGTAATACTAGGGGTCAAACCTGGGAGCATTCTACCGCTGAGCTTTCCATTTTTTATTTTGAGATAGAGTACCACTAAATTGCCAGGGCTGGCCGGAACTCTGGATCCTCCTGCCTCAGCCTACCAAGTAGCTGGGAATATGGCATGTGCCACTATACCACTATACCTGGGTAACTATACAGCTTCGTCTAAGATCCAGTTAAGTCCTAGACACAAATGGATACCATGAGTTTTAAAAAGTTATTTTTAAGTTACATAAACATTTGCATATTAATGCTCATTGCTACACTACTTCTAACACCCAAGAGCTAGAAGCAACCCAATGTCCATCAATGAAGGATTGGTTACTGAACATGTGGTATATCCACGAAATGTGGTATTGTTCCACCTACAAAAAGACATTCTGACATATGCTGCAACATGGATGAACCCTTAAGATATTACGGTGAGTTATCCAAAGCAGTCAAACTCATCAAACAGGTTGGGGAACAGTGACTGCCAGGAAGGCTGGAGAAGTGGTGGGGTGCTATTGTCCAGTGGATACTGCTTCCCTTTGGGAAGATGAAGTTCTGGGTATGTTTCACAATAATGTGAATATAGTTTACACTAATGAACTTACACTTACAGAGTTAAGCCAGTGAAATTTATGTTACTACAGTTTAAAAAGAAGTTATTAAATGCTACCATTTCACACACACTAGAATGTCTAAAATCAAAAAGGACCAATAATAGGGCACACACACACCTGTAATCCAACCTACTCGGGAAGCTGAGGCAGAAGAATTCTGAGTTCAAGGCCAACCTAGGTAACTATGCAATACCGTCTCAAGATAACCATGTTTTAAAAGACTAGGGGTGTAGCTCAGTGGTAGAGCCCTGGCCTAGCAGGCATGAGGCCCTGAGTTGCATCTCCAAGACCACAAAAAAGAAAAAAATAATAAAAATAAAAATATACATATATATAAATATGTATGTATTTATTTTTCTTTTGAGACAGGGTCTCACTACATAGTGCAGGCTGGCCTGCAACTCATGGCAATCCCCCTACCTCTACCTCCCAAGTGCTAGGATTATAGGCCTGCACCACCATACTGGTTAAGGCCAAAAATATTTAATGCTGGCGTAGGACTGTAAGGATCATACATGGATCTATTGACACCTTCAAATATGTTGGTTAGAGTATAAAGTTTTCAACCATTTCAGAGAATTCTTGGGTAACTTTTATGACCCAACAATTCTACTCCTAGATATTTACCCAGAGACACGGAAACACCTGCCCACAGAATGAAAGGAATGTGCACGGCCCCTTTGCTCATCACAGCCGAGTACTAGGAATAATGCCCACCCAGAGGGGAGTGCTAAACTACGGTGGTGCACACGGGAAAACGACCTGGCAACAAGATAGAACAAATGACTGACACAAGCATTAACTTGGCTGCATGTATAATGAAAGGCACAAATCATACCGCATGACACCATCTATCCAACTATAAGCAGGGCAAAATGACCTATGGTGATAAGTACAGGAAATAATGAGCTCCATGGCTTTGAAATAAAAAGGTGTCCACAAACCAAAGAACACTCTGGGTGAAACCAATGACCTCTGTCTTTTTAAAATCCCTACGTGTGTACGCATCAGTCAGATCTGCTGCCTGAAACCTTATGATCTGTAGTTATTCGCTACGTGGACAGCAGACCTTACTAGAAGAATCTTAAAAAAAAAAAAAAAAGTGAGTTACCAAGGCTTGTTTTTCAAATGAGAACACAGCTCCTTCTCAAGAGAACTGCTTTATGCCCGTGTGGATACAACCCATAATTAAATTGCCTAATTTTTATAACTGCCCTAGAGAACTGAACAGATCCCCAGGAAACCTGTCCCTTTACTCTATTACGAACGCATGAGAGGGCCCAAAGCCATCTGGAAGCTTCCAGGTCTGCAAATAAAACATGAGCCCCTGACAGGGATGACTTACACCTGCCCATGAGAGGACAGCGTGCACTTCTGCCACGCTTCACCCACCATCGTCTCCCTGTTCCAGCAAATGGAAACGTGCCGTGCCCACGGCCCCTGCGGGCAAGCCCACTGCACCCTCAGGGAACACTCATCTAATGCGGGGGGGGGGGGGGGGTCACAGGGTGACCCTGTCTCTCCTCTACCTATGCTTTACATCCAACGGGAGCAACCCAGGGTGCAGCATCTCTTTAATACCGTTCTGCTACAGGCATCCAGATGTTTTCAAGATGCCAAAGTAGATTTTGGGGAGAAAGAAGGGGCCATAAAGAGATATACTAAATAATTTTTCATAGTTAATGGGAAAACTGTGAACACTTCTGAGACTCTTTACAGAATTAGAAAGAAGATCACCAAGGCCAAAGGCTAAATACAGAACCTAGATGACTACTGTGCTCGGCCGTGTGCACCCCCAGACAGCCCTTCTCCAACACTGCTTCCTTCTCCACGTCTGCCCTGCTTACCGAAGGCCCGCACATGAGCAGAACCCAAAGTGCCATCCACCCCGCACTCCGGGAGGTCCGAATGTGCTCCGAAAGGCCAGTGCCCTGAAGGAACCCAAGCAGCCTTCTCCCCCGAGTGGGCTCGTAACTAAAAAGAATCCTAATATGCCCTCGGCCTGTCTTCCTGCCTCCCCACCCCTGGAAGCAGCCTTTACCAACCTGTGCCACTGGGAGGCCCGGAGCCCACATAATCGGAGAGCACTGTGCCACTGCTCACATCGTTGCCCTTCATGTTGACCACCAGAAAATGGTGCCACTCCCTGTGTGGAAGAACACAGCCCCTCAGCACCACCGGTTATGGCAGCCGCTGTGCAGCTGGCGGGCATGCACCGAGCACACGCCACGGGCCAGGACACACAGCGATGAAGGAGACGCAGGCCCTGCCTTTTTGGCAGGTGCAAACCTTGTATCTGCAAACGCAGCGCCCAGACCTTCCCTCTCCGGGGCAGAAGTCAGCATCCTCTCTCCGGAAAGGGCCCAAGAGCGACGTTTCCAAGGCCTGCAGCTTTGTAATCCACATTATCTCTGTCTCAGCGACTCTGCCAGTGCAGGAGGAAAGCACCCACAGAGGCATATATAAACTATCCCATTCGTGTTCCCGTTCAACTCTTTGTGGACACTGAAATCTGAATTTTGTTTCATTTTCATGTCTCAAGTATTCTTTTAGTTTCTTCCTCCTCTGAAAAAACCTAAAAACCGTGCTTAGCTCATGGGGCCAAACAGGCCTCAGACAGAGATGGCTACTGGTCTTAGTTTATCCGTTAAGGCTCAAGGGCAAAGAGGCACGAAATGGATGCTCCGGTTTAAGAAAGTATTCGCATCCCAAACCAGGTCTAATTCTCTCTGTCCAGCAGGGGACTTAACACAAGGCACGTCACCCCCTTCAGCTTCCCCCAACTTGCCTGAATTTGGGAGACTGCCGGCTGGGAGCATCCGGGTCTGTCAGGACCAAGGTGTACAGTTTACCTGCATCCACACCATCCCAGGAAATGCTGGTGGGTCTGTTCTTAACCTGCAGAGAGGAGCCAGTTGGGAGTTAAAGAGCCAAAAATGCCGAAGAAACCAACTAGTTCTTTGACCTCAGACTCCTCCAAGGTAAAAGAGAGTCAATTATTAATAAATGTTACTGGGTTTTGCCTGAGTGCCAAGAGTCCAAGTTTTATATATAAATCCATTAATTATCTTAGTCTCAACAACACTCTGGGGCTAGTATCCCAGCAAGTGAACAACAGGAGGAGGGGCCAGGATTTGAACCCTGGCCCCAGGGCCTCCTCTCAACCACAACTTACACTCAAAGTGTGGAACGAAAAGGTCTCTCTGGCTTTGGAGACCAGGAAGTTACTTGTGCCTGCTACAATGAAATAAAGCTGCATGAACTAGACATTGTTTTGTGTTTTTTTCCGGTCCCGGGAACCGAACTCATGACCTTGCCCTTGCCAGGCAGGCGCTGTGTCACTGAGCTAAATCCCCAGCCCCTGAACTAGACATTTAAAAGTACAAAAAAATAAAAAAAAAAAAAAAGAAGAGAAAGCCTGGGAAAGAAGTGAGGAAGGCACAGCCTCCAAGATGTGCACTTCGTACTTAAAACACCTACAACAATAAATTCTGTAAACATCCTGAACCGAGAAAGCTCAGGGTAATTTATTCACCACTCGCCAGGAGCTTCAGAACCAGCAACTAGCAACCGTGTCGAGAAATCCAGTTTCTCCACTTCGAGCAGCCCAGGCCAGGGCGTGAGGGGCCAAAAGCAAAAAGGGTAAAACAAGGCCAGCCAGCTGCAGAGCACGCTGCCCTTGGCTGGCTGCACGCTCTTGACGGCTAAAACAAAGGAGAAATCTCCGGGAGACGCTGGCCGCCGGTTACGTAACCCGCCACTGCCGGGTGGGGCACTTGCTCCCCAAAAGAGGGCCCAAACGCCAAGACCTACGCAGGCCTCGGGGGCGCCGGGAGGGCGCGGCTCATGCCGGGCCCAGCGGACGCCTATTCGGCCCCGCCCCAGGATCCAGGGGGTTTCCGAGCCTGGGCTTCTCCGGTCCCTGGAAGTCCCAGGAAAGCGAATCCAGGGCTCCCGCGGGCCGAGCGCAGCCGACACCGGCCTCGCTCCGCGGGCGCTGGAGTGGCTCCCCGGCCTGCGCCGCCGACACCGCG